GAGGAAAAGTTCATACTGGATTACGTGCACCGCAAAAGGAACACCTTGGTAGACATGTCACATGGGTATACTTGGCTCGGGGGACACGACTTCTTACAGGAAGGCAATTGGATGTGGATAACAGACGAAGTGTTTAACTATACCAACTGGAGGGTGACAAATCCGGCAAGCAATCAAGCTGAGGACTGTCTGGACTTGAGTGGAGGAGGCTGGAATGATAACACGTGTTCAACTAAACTGAATTATGTCTGTGAAAGGAAAGCTTTCTAAGTTGCGGTAAATACCCAGAGAAAAAAAATTTTGTCGTCTTAAATGAATAGGATTTGTAATAAGAATGTCAAGGGTTTGCCCTTATAAGACAAGTTATGTACATTATGTCACGTGTATTTATGTTAAAACATGATTACTCCTATACATATTTTTAAGAAAAGATTTAAAAAAATATTAAGTTTATTGTCACTTATTAAACATTTTTTCAGTAGTTGAAGTGATTTGTAATTGAGCAGTTCCTGAAATACTTTTAAATGTATTTTTAATTATATGCACTGAAAATAAAATTTCAATACCTTTCAATTACTCTTAAATTATGTAACATATTTAACCATATACATTGTAAACATTCTGTTGTTTTGATAAGGAAATATTTCCATGCCAGTAATCCTTTTGGTCCTTTTTAATCATTTAAAATTCACCGTTTTCGAAAATTTTAATACATGCTGTTATTTTACATGCAATTTAATGATTTTCATACATCGACTTGCTTATAATACATTGTAATGTTGAGTTGTTTTCTAATCACACATTTGTTTCCTATGAAGAATTATTAAGTTTATTGTATCTATAAAATACACTGTATGTAAAAACCTATTGTATACCTATGATTGAATCTATGTATTTTGGTTGTTTGATATTTGTCTTTTAAATCACAGGTGTAAATTGACATCTAAAACACACAAATTAACTTTCAACCGTTATATGGAAACTATACGCAGTTGTTCTTCGAAAATAAGGCTATACGAAATTTGAATGAATAGAATAAAAATACTCTACCGAATTCATATTGAATCGCAATAAGTTTTGAAAGTTTTACATTGGAAAATAACATGAATATAATGACACTCTCCATGTTTTGCTATGGGGAACGGATGTCGGATCGAATCGGATTAAAAAGTAAAATAGGAGGTGCACAATGGCAATATGTAATAAAAATTCTTTGAAAGTTTCATCAAATTTCATTCAATGGTTTGAGAGGAGCTGCGGACAAGAGATGGTTAATCCATAGCGTAACAGACGGATGTACCGACAGAAGGACAAACGGACAGACAGACGCACGGACGAACATAACGATTATTATATATCCTCCTGTCTTTTAAGCTCCTCTTAAACAATTGAATGAAATTAATAAGTTGACTTTCACAGAATCTTTTGTGCATGTCTTATTTTAGTTTTTGATCGATACATATTTTTAATTTTCCACGGCAAACCCTGGGCACTGCCATCCTTGCTATAATATTGAAGGATATCCATCTTTTATCCTCAACTTCTCCTATTACAACTTTTTAAATTTTAACGAAACTGTAATATATTCTTGTTCATATTATGCCATTATGCAGCTATTAATTTGCTATTTGGTCCAATGTTTATTTCTGTCGTCCAGCGCAAAATTGATTTAAGGATTTTTTTTTTAATTCGAGATGGGATCAATCGAGTGACTTCCATGTTGATTTGCATAAAATTACTTAGTATCTCGAAAACCAATCGATTGATCATGGTCATGAAATCCAAAGATCTGACATTTATTCCTTATATTTTCATGTTCCTGATTCCGCTAATCCTCACTTCTGTCTCTATTTGTCCCGCCCCGCATGTTATTTTTTTTTAACAGCGCCCATCAATGAACCAGTGCATTAATGTAGAAAAAAAATACATTAACTATTTGTAATTTTATCTCGAACAAAGGTATTGGAAATGTTAATATTTACTATTATAGTCATATAGGAGGTTGAGTATCATTTTATTAGTTTACTGCTGATAAAATCACTATTTATCATGCATACCATAACAAAAAACGAATAAAAATCCTTCCTAACAAAAAATTTATCATTGACTCAAATGCTGATTGACGTTTTTCATACTTATTAGTAGTCCTTTATTTATACACTGAATTGACGATGGATTTTTTCCGTTATTTCCCGATCATGACAAGGAGCACACGGCGGATGAGACCGGTCAGCAGGGGATGTTCACTTCTCCATGGCACCTGATCCCACCTCTGATGTTTTAGAGGTCCGTGTCTGCTCTGCTCCTATTTTATATTGTTTTATGGATTTTGAGATTAAATACTGTTCTTATCTTCATTTCCTTCTCTTGACGTATAGTAGAGAAAAAATTTCCGGAATAAGTGACATATTTTAAAATCCTTGTTTATTAGTTGTTTTCAATCGAACATATGTGACCGCGACTGCGAAAAAGGGTCCAGATGCGGCACACGTCATAATGAGAAATCGGCGATAGTTCTGAACGTTTGCGTCACAATCAAAAAAAAAAATAACGCGTGAAAAAATTGCAATACACGTGCTTCTGAAAAAGTTAATCTCTGTCTTGTATTTTAAAGTGTTAATTATGAAACTGAAATAGTTTGTTGTAATGTTTTGTAATATATTTTATTACGTTTTTTTTTTATTTTAATTTGAATTTACCGCGGGTTGTAAAGAGCAATAACTCTGTCCATAACAGCAGGCGTGTTTACATTTCCGGTTGAAGATAGATTGAAAGTGAAAGTCACAGTAAAGTTGTAAACTGGAAATGTAGGGAGTTCAAGCACTAAACATGAGCCAAACTTCCACAGCAACATCGATAAGTATACCATCAGAAATTGTTCTTTATCAAGATGATGAATTTTTAGAAGATATAGAGCGTGTGGATGAATTATATTTCTCTAAACTTGTTGCTCCAAAATCTAACGTGCGCGACAGACAGTTTTGTGATCTGTCAAGTGACAGCGAGACAGATACGAGTGATTTTGGTGATGTAAATTATGATTCTGACTCTGAAAGTGACGATGACAACTATGATGGGGATGTATATATACCGAATGAAGTCAATGACACCGACACGAAGGAATACATAATCCGTTCCAAATTTCAGAATGACACTTGCGGGTGTAAGGAGTTTTATGGAATGCCATGTAGCACGAAAATTGACTTTGATGCAGCATGTGAGTTCCGTGATCATTGTCTACAGTGTACTCGGGAGGAACTTGACACTATACCTAAAGTTGAAATGTTTGCACATAGGCGATCTGGTTCTGTCACACAGTCCAAGAAACACAGAGAAAAAGAACGAGAAAGACCATTTCAGGAGTACTACTTCAATGGATGCAGAGTGTGTCGTACAGCATTTTGTTTTGTACATGCGGTTGAAAGAAAAAAACTCCATAAAGTTGCCAGATCTCTTGATACAGAAGGGTTTTTACCCAGAACACATGGAAACAGTGGTAAGGCTCCGCATAATAGCTTATCAGTGACAGACAGGGATCGAATCAAAACATTTATTACCAAGTATGCTAGTGACCATGCCCTGCCTCTACCAGGCCGACTGCCAAATTACAAATCTGAGAAAGTGCTTCTACTTCCGTCGGATACGACAACTGCTGACATTCATGCTAAGTATGAGATTCTACCTGAAGAAATGAACTTCAGAAGAATACACTTAAGGACATTTCAAAGAACTTGGCATGAGTTGTGTCCATTCCCCGTACGAAACAGTCCGGGTGGCTTAGACACGGCTCAGGCACGGATTCCGTCTCCAAAAACCCGTGCTTTAGCATTCCGTGCTCCTATGTAATGTATGTATGGAAAGCCGTGCCTAAAAGTGGTCGAGGCACGGACACGGCACGGGATATTGGCCGAAATATTTAAATGAGATCACACGGTTTTACAAAACCCGTGTCAGAAAGCCGTGCTAGTTTCCATATATGGACTCACGGATTCTGTAAACCCGTGTCTGAAACCCGGGTCCTTTTCCATATATGGAGACACGGTTTTTTGGAAACCCGTGTCAAAAAAGCCGTGCCGTATACCATATAAGGAGTCACGGGATCTGTGCATTTGTTTAGATCTAGGTCATGGCCTTTGGAAACTGTGGATGCCAAAATGGTGACTGAAACCAAATTTAACTTCACAGGCTTTACATTATTTGCTTAGTTTTGGAATTTCAAAAGTTAAAAATCTTATATGAATGTGTCCATTTACTTTCTGTTAAAGATTAACTTTATCAGTTACAATCCATGCTAGTTTTTAATGAAGATTTTAATGATAATGTACAATATTCAATTGTAATTTAATCTAGTAGCTAAGTTTGCACAATCTGAGAAAGAATTTAGTTTAAATAAAACTTTCACTAGCACAGTGATGTCACATAAAATATATAATTTAAAGGATTAGTGAAAGTCCAACTAAAGTCATCAAATAAACCTAAACTATTTCATCATGTCATTGTCAACATTGCAATACAGGAAGATCATGAAAATTGAAAAATTGACTTATTTATTCTAGATTACACTTACTGCATTTAGTTCAAAAGTGAAGAATTATATCCCAGACTTACATAAATACAATTCCAACTGACATCTATTAGTTGAATATCCTTTAAATAGAGCAAAAAGACACATTGACTTAGCTCATGATCATGAATCCCTCCAATTTAATATTCAAATAAAGGAAGTTATGATTGAGCATGCTCAGTAAAAGCCGTGAGATATAAATAAATAGTATGAACCAAAACCCGCCTAAGTTAAAAACCGTCTCCCTGGGACACGGATTCCGTGCCTCCACACGGGTTTCTGTGAGCGAGGATTCCTCACTTTCAGACACGGAAGCCGTGTCCGTGTCTTGGACATGCAGAACCCGTGCGGCTTTTTAAAAACCCGTGCGGATTCCGTGTCTTAGCCGTGCCCAAGCCGTGCCTATTCCGCCTCGAACTTTCGTACGGGTCATTACAATCATGAAGCCATGCACTGACCTGTGTCAGCTTTGTCAGAATTTCTCTCATCAACTGTCGACAGTTTCTAATATGAATGATGAGGAAAAGGAAGAAATCCTTTCTACTTACACGCAGCACGTTTCCCAAGCTAAACAGCAAAGAGACTACTACAGACACCAGTGTACCACCAGCAAGGAAGTGTTCATTTGCTTACCAGAGGAATGTAAACAAACTGGTAAGTTAAAATGTTATTGCAAAATTAAATTTTTCCTTTAGTGTATAGTTACAAGTATGGTATACTTTCCTTCATTAGCATTAAATGAACATTCTTGTACTATTATATGTGCTTGGATTTGGACTATATTATCAGCCTGGGTAGCTCAATGGGTAGAACACCTGACCAGGGTTCAAGGGTTCAATTCCAGCCATGCATTTTCTCCTCTTTTCCTTAGTACTATTAATAGGAAAACAGACATACCAAAGTGTTTGCAAAAATGTCTTATGTGAAATTGAATTTCTTTGTTCATGAAATAGTAAATACTATGAATAACTTTCAATGCATGCATATGATCATGAATGATTAATTTTATTGTAGGAAATGCTCCATGTACAGTTGATGTGCAAATGCACTATTCCTGGGACTATGCACAACAAGTGCATTTTCCACATCATGCCCAACAAGTGGGACCAATATTTTTTAAGACGCCTCGGAAATGCAATGTGTTTGGTATATGTTGTGAGGGTTCAGGTATGTTAATTAATTCATTCGTCATTATATATTGCTTAGTTCTTCAAATCATTCAGAAATAACTGTACATGTAATTCTTATAAGAATTTTATTAATAAATTACCTTTTATGTGGAGATCTAACATTTGACGAAATAGTAAAATCTAAAATATATATATGTATTAAAGGAGGATACTCTTTCAAATATAGAATAATACATGTATGGGACTAAGTCTGAATAAACCAATTTTAGTTATGAATTTTATTAAATATAGTTGCAGCAAAATATTAACACATACTATTTTTGTAATAATGCATAGTTACATATAAGGTAAATAAACAAGTCAATGGTTGAGTTATTTAGTTCGGATCAAAATTTTTGTTTTTACTTAAATGGCAGGAAAACAAGTGTTCTACTTGATTGATGAGGCTGAGAACACAGGGAAGGGTGCTAATTCTGTCATTAGTATGGTTCACCACTTTTTTCAATACCATGGATATGGAGAAAAAACAGCATCCATTCATTTCGACAACTGCAGTGGGCAAAACAAAAACAACTTTGTCTTATGGTATGCTCTATGGAGAGTTCTTGTAGGTAAGTGTACATCAAATGAAAAATATTTGATTTTAATTATTAAAATTTGTAAAAGCATTGTTTGATATTCAGTATGTTCATGATGTTCAATGCCCAAAGTGTTACATACATGTATGATATCAGTTTTGATAGTCAAGAAATGCAAACTCCTAGTAAATGTGGCATTTGTATTTAAATTAAGGAGTGTATTTCCTTTCAATTAGGACTCCATGTTATTGTGGAATATTCTATGATGGTGGCAGGACACACTAAATTCGATCCTGACTGGCATTTTGGAGTCTGGAAAGTAAAATGGCGTTCATCTACAGCAGAAACCATGAATGATATAGCAGACACAGTCCGTCATTCATCCCGCAGAGGCCATAACATTCCTCAGCTCGTGTCAGATCCACAAACACCTGTGCAGTTTAGGGACTGGAAGTCGTACCTTGAACAGTTCTTCAAACCCTTGAAAAACATTAGAGGCTATCATCATTTCCGAGTAAGTGCTGAGACTCCTGGTGTTGTTGAATGTAAGGAGCTCTGTAATTCTGTTCCTTTGTGTGTCAATCTCCTGAAAGATCAGAATATCCTTCCCTCCGTAAATGATCCTCTGCCTCAAGAAATCCCAGCACCTGGTCTTGAGCCCAAAAGGCAATGGTACTTATATGAGGAAATCCGTGAACATTGTCTATCACTCTCCGCTAAAGACACATCCTGTCCAAAACCAGTCGTACCAAAGAAAGAGGTGAAAGTTTATTCTCCTGATCATTCCACATCACACTTGAGGAAAAGGAAGAATCTTCTCCTTAGATGAAGGGGAATATTATTGAGTGTAAGAAAGATTAGAAGTTAAATGTATACATGTAGTTCCTGTTGTATTACTCCCAGTAATGTGTTACATTGAAGTACTTTTCTGTCCATTGAATTTCATTGCTTTAAAACATTTGTTGGAATTGATACGTTTACGCAACTGTTTACATAAGCTGTGTCCTATGAGTAGTGTTACCTCTCAACAGTTAAAAAAATGTGTAACAGTATGAAAATTGTTACTGATGTTTTCACCTTCTCTGTGACATTTTCCTTTAAATGTACTTTTGATATATATTTCGTACAACCATGCAAAAATATTACAATTTTATTATTTGAAAGCTTTGTCAAAAATGATTAACGACAGATTTTTAATTTTCAAAAGATACCATTTTCACACTGCCCCCCAAAATTTAATTGTTATACTCTTTATACTGAATACTGTTGATAATGTTAAGAAAGTACAGATGCATACATCTGTAATATAAGAGTACATTTTATTCATAATTTGTATGTTTGCAATATTCAGAGTGTCTGTTTTAAAAATAGTTACCTGCTATTCATATTTTTGTGATTTTGCTTACAGCTGTAAAATAACCTCTGTCATTCTGTAATTTATGTGATTCCTGGTGTATTTTGTCATAACTACCAATAATAACTTTTTTTGTTATTTTGGAATGTAATTTCAAATTGCATATTTATCTTGATAATAATTATTGTGCATTTCTCATGTTTCGAGTTTATTTTATTGAAAATAAATGGTTGGATTATTTTGTTCATTATGCATCTTTTCTTCCCTTTCTCTTTTTGGTCATCGATGCTGGTAGGATAATGAGTCAGTCTTCTGAATCAAGTTCAGTTGTTTCAACAGCCATATGTAATAAGTAACAGTCATATGTAATAAGTAAGAAAAACAGTATCAGTTTATTTTCATCATATCTAAGCAAAATTTTAAGAAGAGTTTAAAGAAAAAGAAGAGATTGTTTTTAATATACCTGTAGACTGAAAGTGTTCAGATTTGTTTTCTAATTACGACGTTATGGTAACGTCACTGACGTTAGGATATGACTTGAAGATGCCTGCATACCAGGGCCTGTATCTTCTCTATTTTTCATGATATTTGCATGAAATTTTGAATTTGTGTCATTCAAATTGTCATGATTTAAAAAAGACAATAAAATTAATTTCGATTTTTTACTCATCTGGACCCTTTTTCCCAGTCGCGGTCACATATGTCTAAAAATTTCATATTTCTATCTTTGCACCTAACATTTACAACTGTAGAATAAACCTCAAAATTGGCAAAACAGCATTTTTCCCGTTAAAAGAACATGGACACAATTTCAACTGAATTTTTAAAACAAATTTCAATTTTTAAAATTCCACCTAAGGCGTCATCTAATGATCAGCAAAATTTTGAACATCATTTATTGATTAACAAACAAGAAACAGAACTTATGGCCACTTGTACATGTTTGGCTTAAGCCTGGGTCAAGGTAATCTAGACTTAAGTCAGGTTCAAAATTATCAAATCACTTGCAGACCTCTCTGATTTATCTGAGTAGAGCTCAGCATTGTGGTTTAATGTAAACCAGGTAATGGGCAGGTTTAAAGGAAGGTTTTATGGCGTATTATTTTGATGAGATAGACCAAATTTATTTAGTGGAAAGACTTATCAGGCGAGAAAGAGTGGAAAGAGGCAGGACAAACCCTTTTTTTGAATTATTCGGAGGAAGAATTTATTGACAGATTTCGCTTAAGAAAGGAATGTGTAATTGAATTATTAAATGAAATTGGGGAACACCTGGAGCCAAAACAAAAGAAGGTTTCATCAATATCACCACTTGACCAACTACTAATAGCTTTACGGTTTTATGCAACTGGCTGTTTACTCAGAGTTTCTCTTTGGATCTCTTTGGAGTTCATGAAAGATCAGCTTCTCGAATTGTGAAGAGAGTTTCATCTGCATTGGCATCGCTTTACAAGAATTATGTAGTATTTCCATCAGGAAATAAATTAACTGAAATCCAAAGAGGTTTTATGAATCATAGTGGTATTCCCGGAATTTTGGGTGCAATTGACTGTACCCATATCCCAATACAATCACCCGGAGGTAACACGGCAGAAATTTTTCGAAACAGGAAAGGATTTTTCTCCATCAATGTACAGGCAATTTGTGACAATGATCTTATGCTTACAAATGTGGTTGCAAGATGGCCGGGAAGTACTGGTGACAGTCGGATTTTTGAGAACAGTAGTGTGTGTGCTAATTTTGAAAGAAGAAATATTCCTGGGATTTTGATTGGAGATAATGGATACGCTCTCAAACCTTATTTAATAACACCCCTTCTTACTTGTAGGACAGCACAAGAGAGACGCTTTAAGTTTGCTTTAAGTAACAGTAGAGTTAAGATTGAAAATGTGTTTGGCATTTGGAAAAGACGTTTTCCTTGCCTTCGAAATCACTTGAGGTTTAAGATTTCTACAAATTTGCACGTTATTATTGCTTGTGCAGTATTGTACAACATTGCCAAGAAAGCTACCATACCGGTACCAGATAATGAGGATGAAGGAGATACAGCAGTTCCAGTTCCGGTGCCACCAAATGCAAACCAAGGGGGACAGGCTTTAAGAGCAGTTTTGATAAGGCATTTTTAGTAAAAAACAAACAAACAAACAAGTAAGTTTAATTAAAATAAATTTATTTTTCAATTCTTAAATGTTTAATGTAGGCTATATATACTATCTATTGAGTATATGGTTGCCAGAAAGAGCCACAGTTGTTATTAGAATCTGTGTCGCCACAAGTAATGGTTGGAGGTACAGGCAACTTAGGTCCACTTGATTTTATTTCATTCTCTAGCTTTTGTTTCTTTAACTTTAGTATATCCTCTTTCTTGAGAATTGCCATTTTTTTCTGATGTTCTATTTCTGCTAATTCCAGGAGTCTGCTTTTGACTAGGTCTTGACGTCCGGGACCAGCTTTTCGTTTGGTACCGAGAACTTGGTTGTCAATATCTGTGAACAGTGAAACATTTATTGTAAATATTATGAGTAAATAAAATATATATCATTGATGTAATGTTTTTTTTGTTTGAACACGTATTTTAAAATCACACTTTTATTATTTTTAATAGCTTAATATTTATGTAGAGTTATTGAAAATGATGTGCGCCAAATCTTTTTCATGTTTTCGTAATTTGACAACAATGGTGAGATCACAGAATTAGATATAAAGTTTGAATAATAAAAAATCTACAGCGCATACATATTACATGTATATGAAAAGATATTTTCATTAAAATTCTCTTAATCCAATAATGTTGACAAATTACTAGTATACCTCGTCATTATCATCTGAATCTTCATTGTCATCTTCTGGTTCATCTCCATGGAGACTTGCATCATCGTCATATGGGTTTCGCAAACTATTAATTTGCTAAGGAAGCATTTCGGATATGGTGCTGGAAATTTTATCCAAGCTTTTCTCAGATGGTCCTCCACCTGTCTTTTTCTCCTCTCTCCTCTCCTTGGCAACGGCAGACTTCGTTCTGGCTTTTAGATTTTTCCATAATGATTTCAACTGTGTTATGGTTCTCTTGTTTACACTATGTCTAGAATTAAATTTTTTCTCAATATTTATCCATTCTGTGTTCTTCTTACTAACCATTCTGCCGTCATTCTGCTTATTTTCTATGATGTCCTTCCTAGCATGGATAAGCTCTAGAAAACTTTCTTTTTCTAACTCCGAAAAATTTGCTGACTTCTGTCTTGATGCCATTATTTTCAAGGAATGAGATAATCTTAAACCGTATTCAGGTAAGTAAGAGTTGAGTCACAGGTTTGCAACCCAACTACTTCTCACCTGAGTACAGATCAAGCCAGGTTTAAGGCAGGGTTATCTGATCCCTAGATCACCTATTAAATCAGGGTTACCAGAGCTAAAGGTATGCAAATGGCCATAATAGAGTTCCTCAAAATGTAAACAAGGTCTGTGCCTTGTTTTTGTTAACATATGGAAAATATCATATTTATAACAAAATGAAATTCAGCAAACCACTAGAAACTGTCTTATTGTATTTAGAATTAAGTTAATCATTTAAATTATCTACTTTGAACAAACATATGTGAGTGTATAAATCTATGTAAACAAAACATGGCACAGACCCTGTTTACATAACAAAGTTTGAAGCTATAAATCTGTCTTGTATCTTGACAACAGAAGTTCAAATTTTTGATGATCATTAGAAATATCACAGTTAAATAATGGTAAAAATGGAAAAATATATGTAAAATTATTTAGCTGAAAGTGTGTCTATGCCCCTGTAAAGCGTCTATTTGTTCATGATCTTTGACCTAGAAGTCCTTCAGGGCAGGCCTGCTCCTAAATAAATATGTGATATTTTGATAGGCTGAGATGAAAGGAATAATTTAAGATAGGATGTTTTCAGGGGCAATTTAACCAAAGAAAAGCCCTGATAAAATTAAGATTTTGACAATCTGCCTCACATTAAATTTCAAACATCATATTTATGAACTCATGATAACTCAGTTGATGCAAGCGATAACTACGCAACACAGTTAAGGTAAGAGTAAGGAGGCGGGGCCTAATTTGTACGGGAAATGTTTACAATGACGTCACAGATAATTTAAGGTCTTCAAATTACCACAAAATGAACTTATTTGCTTTTTTCAAACAGCTGGATAGCTAAATACTACATACAAAATAACTATTACATGCAGTTTTGTCCTTTGTTAAATCCCACACAACAGTATATAAACGATGCATCGATCACAATGCACTTGTCAATGTGACCTCATCTTGCAAAAATGACGCAGTTTGTACACAGTGAGAGGCTGATCAAGTCACATTTGTACAATGAAACATGTTTTAGTTTTCAAATAAAATATTATTTGCAATTAAATTAAAGGCGTTAACTTGGATGCGATGTCTATTTTAGAATTTTATTTATAAACTTCCGTACATTCTCCAGACAAGTGATATTATACAATAATGGACTCTTTTGGTGTTGAATATGGTTTATTATTCACCAGAAAAATATTCATATTGACTGAGGCGAAGCATTTGGAAAATGTTGAGAGTTTGACGCATGATGCACATACGTTTTAATACTTATTTAGTCTTAACAACATTAATAACTTATATTATTATACCTCTGTTTATTTTTTCTATATAAAAATAAGACGAATAATCATGCTATTTTTTTCTAAACAGTCTCTACCGTGAAATAGTTTTTGTGCTATTTGCCCATGGTGAATAGTCCTCAAACTATTCAACGGCAGCGTTCGATTTCCCTCGCTTTTCATCTCTGAAAACTTCTGATTTTACATGGATTGTGACGTATATATTATGACGTAACAAATGTAAAGTCAGCATCGGTATAATAAAATACCTATTTACTGACTATTCGGACAATAGCAAGTTTATCGTCCCCCTCGACAGCAAACTATTTCCCTCGGCTGCGCCTAGGGAAATAGTTTGCTGTCTTGGGGGACGATAACTTGCTATTGTCCTCGTAGCCAGTAAATAGGTGTATAATATCCAACTTAAAAAACGATTTTTTTTTTAAATAAAAAAAGCTTTAGTGAATTTTTTTCGCATAGTTAATCAAACAGTTCAAGAATGGACCTCACAATTAATACATATCTATTTTGTTAAGTAGAGGATGTAAAAGGGGAGTGATTTCCCCCTTTTGGATTTGGTACCATACATATTTGAAGAATTTTTTTTTCTAAATTTTGTGTAAAGGTTCAAGTGAAGAGAGAGTAGCAGGTTCCATTTTTTCCTTTTTATCATTCTGATATGAAATAAATTTTTGTGTTTCATAATGCAATTTCACTTGTGATATTGCTTTTTGTACATTAATAGGTTTCTTTAATTGTGCATCTTGCAGTATGAATATAAAATTTTAGCCAGAGAAGAATATATAGTATTTTGAATATCAGTATTTTCATCAATAAATCCTAAAATGAAAGAATCCTTAGTAACATTTATCATTAGACCAGTTTTATCTTCAAACAAATTCTAGAATAATTGTGTATTATCACATTTCCATATAGGTGTTCTATTGTTTATCCTCAGTAGGACAAAAACTGCATTTTTACAGTCATTTTTTTTTTAATTTTGAATAAAAATGAATTTGTTACTTAGATTTTGTTTATCATTGGAGTCTACAGTCTTTTGATACCCTAAAGGGAATCATGAATTTTTTTTTTCCATTCCTGAGTTTCAACTTCTAAAAGCTCACTCCAATATGTTTTACCTGCTGCAAAAGAAGAATTTTGAATAAGGATTTCATAATTGCATTTGGATTCTCTACATTTCATTAATGTGTAGATATTAGACATAATTATGGGATTGGTGAGCTTTTTAAATTTTTTTCCTGACCAGAATTTTTTTATCCAATCCTCTTAGCATGAATAATACTACTGAATTCTAAGAAATTAATCCTTATATTTCGATAAGTGTTGCAGAAATGCTGATAAGAAAATAGTGAACCATCCTCATTAATGATATCGTTAATTTGACTAACGTTGCTGTCAAACATTTGTTTATTATAAAATGGTTTTCCACCAATATGCAAATGTGGATTTTAAAATCTTGGTAAGTAACCAGCAACATCAAACTTTTTCTCAAGATTTTGTAACATTATCCAGGACTTAAAACATTTATCCAAAATTTATTTTTTAATGTTTTTAAAAAAGTTGCAGTATATTCAATTCCACAACTTAAAGATTTCTTTAAATTAAATTTAGGAAAGAGGTTTTCCAATTAATTAGATGTCTTATCCAAAATAATTTCATAAAGGCTATAAAAGATGTCAGTTTTAACATTTTTTTAAATTTATGACTGGGTTGTTTTCAACATTTTTGTAGGTTTTTTAAATAAAAAATGTTTGAAATAGATACACAATCCTGACTTTCAGCGTCATTTAATTTACTCAGGTGACCTATTGCTCTCCGTTTTCATCCATCGTCATGCATCGTCCGTCGTCCATCATGTGTTAACATTTGAACATTTTCAGCTTCTCTGCAACCGCGCAAGCAATTTCAACCAAATTTGGCACAAACCATCCATGGGTGAAGGGAAACGAAAATTGTGAATTTCATGGTCCCCACCTCCCCTCTCCGGAACCTGAGGGGTGGGGCAAAAAACACTAAAATTTATGCAATGTTTAAAAATCATCTTCTTTACTCCTGGACACCAAGCAGTCAAACTGTTGGCATGATTGTAATTAGCATTGAGTCCTCTACCCAAATTGTGAAATTCATGGCCATTTGGTCAGGGGTTCTAGTGCTAGGGGTGGGGCTAAATTTCTTCTCTCCTCTTTGGTATTAAATAAGCTAACCAAGTTCAAAGTCATAATGAAAAAGAATGTTTCTTCCAAATTATGAATTTCATGGCCCCAGGGTCAGGTGTTGTAGTGTTAGAGCGGGGTTCTATTGATTGTACAGTGAAATCGCATAAATTCTTCAAAAATCTTCTCTGCTCCTGTGTATTAAATAAACTAACCAAGTACAAAGTGATGATAAGCAAGAATGTCTCTTTCAAAATTGTGTATGTCATGACCCCTGGGTCAGGGATTCTGGTGGTAAGGCCGGGTTCTATTGTATAGTGAAAATACATTAATTTTTCAAAAATTTTCTTCGCTGCTCCTGGGCATTAAATAAACTACCGGGTAACCAATTACATAGTTATGTTGAATAAGACTGTCTCTCTTCAATTTGTGAATTTCAGGGCGCCTGGATCAGGGGTTCTGGTGTTAGGGTGGGGCTCTATTGATTATATAATGAAATGCATGAGTTCTTTGAAAAACCATTTCCCTTGCTCCTGGTTAATATGCCATTGATCTAACTACTTATTTATAATGAAGAAATGTGTCTCTTTCAAAATGGTTAAATTCAGGGCTCCTGGATCAGAGTTACCGGGAGGAGGGGTTACTTTGTCTAAAAATGAATTAATGCTTTGAAATCTGCTCTTTGGTATTAATCAACCATTTAGGTGAAATAAAATTTATGATAAAATTTCAAAAAATTCTTAATATGTGGCTGCAGGGTCAGTGGTTCCTGTAGGATGGTGTGCACAACTGGTGGTTATAAATGGAAATGCATTTTGTCTTTGTTACTCTGATCTACCTCTGGGTTTTACTCTGATCTACCTCTGGGTTTAAGTAACCAAAGTAAGCACGCTAAGTGTATAATTATTATTAGCCTCTTTCAAAATTGTGAATTTCATGGATTTTGGATTAAACACGAACCAAGTTCAATTGCTGGAAAGTTGTTACATTATACTCAGGTGACCTATAAGGCCCATGAGCCTCTTGATGTAATAAAGTAGCCAAAATATAACATTTACGCCCCCCCCCCCCACCCCCCAGTCAGGAAAACATAGGATAGTTTGTGAGAAATTTTTGAAGTGACAATACCATTTAATTAGAGAAACATGGTTTGGTTTACAACATTGGCTAGTTTCCCTTTCCACTTTTTGTTTGCTTTTTGTTTGTTTTGATTCGTTTATTCATTTTGTTCATGGTTTTTTGTCACAATATTTCAGAGGGTTTTGACATCATACCCCTGCCTCTGAGAAAATCTGTATGATCCCCCCTTTCTCTCTTTCTTTGAAGAGGAATGCGCTTTTTAGTTGCTTAGATAAAAAAAAGTTGCAGGGACGGCGTTTTTGAATTGCTGTTATCAAAGATGATGGGAAATGCAGTTCTCATTCTCAAGGTTATGCTCCTAAAACGATCGAGTTTTAGGCTG